TTGAGCCACCTGGAGGTTTTCCCTTACTGTCTGAGCCAACTCTTCTATGCGGTCCCTCATCTCCAGCACATAGGGCACGATCGGGGTCCCCTCAATCTCTGTCTGGCCCTCCCAATGATCTTTAATAAGGTCTAGGGGCTCCCTCACTCAGCTCCCGTATAATAGCTCAAAGGGTGAGAATTCTGTGGATTCCTGGGGCACCTCCCTGTACGCAAAGAGGAGGTGCAGCAGGAATCGCTCCTAGTCTCTGTAGGCTCCCGTGAACGTCTTCAGCATTTGCTTCAGAGTTCCATTGAAGCACTCACAGAGACCATTGGTCTGAGGATGGTACGGGGAGCTGGTTAGGGGGTTTAATCCTGCAGACCTTTCATAGTTGCTGAGTTAACTCGGCAGTGAACTGCGTACCCCGGTCTGATAAGATTGCTTTGGGAAATCCCACTCGAGAGAAAATCTTGACCAGGGCATCAGCCACAGTCTCAGAGTGAATGTTGGAGACAGCTACTGCCTCCGGGTAGTGGGTAGCTGTTACGCCTCTACTCCTCCCCGGTATGCGAGGGGTTACAGCTGTATGAGACGTTCCCTTACCGAATGCAGAGGCAGCCACGGAGTGCTACAAAGCACCGAACAGTAGCCGTACGGATGAGGTAGTTTTCCCAAGTAACCGAACAGCAGATTTACGAACACACTATTTCTCCCAAACAGCCGAACAGCCACCATGTGAATCAAATATTCCTCCAAACAGCCGAACACGCATACTCCATACGAAAATTCCCCCCAAAGACGAGACACAGCTCCGTATTGAGGGCTACATGCCCAGCTTTTATGCAAGTCCCCCACCTGACACTCCCCTAGGGGACTGAATGGGGGACTGTGACAAGGACAATGTATTACCCAATCACAGAAGACACAATAAGCCATTCCTCTTTTCTTGCCCAGAACCCTCTGCTCTGCCCGGGAAGATAATTGTGAAGTAATTCAATTATCTCCCAGGACAGAGCCTAAACGCCATTTTGAGGGACAATAACAAAAATACATAAAATTACATAACTGTTGCATTTTACAAGATTTATAGGCATTCCACAAGTCCCCAGATAGCTAGGATCTGAGCACACCAAAGTACCGAATAGCGCTCAGATCCTATACACACAGTCCAATCGCCGTGGAGCCAAAGTGGCCGGCCGTTCGGTAGTTTTGTTCGGTCATAAACAGGGGAATGCCATAGAGTCCACAGGAACGAGAAAAACGAATCAAATAAGTGAACAAGCCATACGGTTGATTCAGTCTAGGACAGAGGGATCTGTCACAGTAGCGTAGTCCTCTACGGTAAGTATATAGGGCCAGGGATCCTATAAGATCTACCGCTACCCTCGTGAAAGTTTCTTCGATGATGGGCATCGGGACCATTTTGGCTTTAGAGTTGTCTCCCTTTTTACCCACTCTTTGGCAAACCTCACAGGTCTCGCAATAACTCCGGACATCAATGGATACCCCAGGTCAGATAAAGATCTGGGTTTCCCGGTGTAACGTCCGGTGTATCCTTAAATGCCCTGTTAACGGGACGTCATGCCCAATATGTAACAACTCCTGCCAGTACTTCCTCGGGATTACCAGCTGGCATTTTTGTCGGGGTCCGGGTGCATTGACCCGGGTCTCCATGAGCCTATACAATCGTTCGTTTTCCCAAGCTAACTGTTCCTCTCCTAGCCCCCCTTGGCCTACCCTAGCCTTTTCCCTGTACTTTCTTAGTGAGTGGTCTCCCACTACTTCCCTCCCAAAATACTCCGGGGTATCCCAAGGAAGGGGCTCTACAGTCAGGGGTGGGGTAGGTTGGCTTACCTGGGTCTCAGTAGGAGGCAGATGGCTCTTGACAGCACGGCTTTGGTCTCTGGTAGACACGGCTTGCGCCTCGTGAGTAGATGCGGATACAAAAGGGGAGGTTAGTGGTCCAATGTCATTGCCTAATACGACCTCTGCGGGTAACTCCTTCATGACTCCCACATGTACACTGCCAGCTTCAGCACCCCAGTCTAGATGGACTTGGGCAGTGGGAATCCGATAAATAGCCACCCAGCCGCTCGCACAACAATAGATTTTCCCATTTTTTTCCGCATTGTCAATTAGGTGCTGTTAGACTAGGGTGATGGTAGCGCCACTGTCTCTAAAGCCCTGGACAGGTGTCCCATTGACCATCACCAACTGACAATGGTGTTTCTGGTTGTCAGTGATGGTAGACTGGACCAGGTGGGCTTCGTATACGGTGCCTATGGGTTCCTCATGGCTTAGCTGCCTTGCATCCCAAGCAGAGGATGTGGGATAGTCCACGCAGTGGGCGGTGGCCCGGGGGTTGGAGAACCCAGGGCGAGTCCAGTTGGACCTGGGGGCTTCCAGCGGGCAGTTGATGCCCAGGTGCCCCAGTTGCTTGCAGCAAAAACAGCGAGGCTCGTTGCCAGCTGAGTGCCTTGGGTTGGAAGTCATTGGTCTGCTGTGGGGTTGGTATCTTGTTACTGCCGGTGGTGATGGTGTCTCGGTTCAAAGGGGTTGGATCCGTGGTGTAGTCTGTGCCGCCTTGCGGGTATTGATATACTAATCTGCGAGTTTGGCTGCCTCAGGTAAGGAGAGGGGTCTGCGATCCCTTACCCAGTCCTTGACGTTAGACGGGATGTGGTCATAGAATTGTTCAAGTAATATCAGCTGCAGGATGTCATCCACTGGGGTTGCTTGGCAGCTCGTGACCCAATTAGAAGCGGATAGCTGTAAGCGGCAGGCTCACTCTGCATATAAATCTTTGTCCACTTTGCAGGAGTTTCTTAATTTTCTGTGGTACGCCTCTGGAGTTACTGCATACCAAGCTAGGAGCACCTCTTTTACCCATGCATAGTGAAATGGACTTTGTTCGCTGGGTTTCAGCCAGCCTCAGTCGTAGCTCTCGCTGTTCCCTTTGGTTCGCCTGCTCCGTTACACTATTGATCACTTGTAGGATGATTTCGGTAGTTGGGTTCAGCCCGAACCATGCCAGCGGTTCCCTAATCTCCCTGTTGGTCGGTGATTCGTTTTCACCAAACAGTCTGTGTTTCGGTCTCCCGAACGGACGGTGTTGCCGCATCCAAGTTCTCCTGGTCTAGCTCCATTAATTTGGAAATTATGACCTGCTTGGCTTTGTTGCTGGCAATACCTCCCCAAACTCCCAATAGTTCCTTTAAGGTGCTGCGCTTAAGCTGTGTATACCAGCCTTCCATTCACTGTACACCAGTGCCTTGGATTCTTGGTGCAGGAAGAAGGGATGATCCCGCCGCTGCCAACCAGTTGTGAGGGTTTGAATAAGTGTTACCGTCTGTCATTCCCTTATTCCCATAAAACAATATCACCAACTAGAAAAGCTACCATTTCTGGGGAAATTGTGTGAAGTGTTCTTGCCTCCACCAGTAGTCTACAACTGGAGTGGGGGGAGTAACTGGGTGAAGTGGCTTGAGTAACTGTTGTGTGGTTGGAGTTGCTGGAGTAACTGTGCAAAGGTTGGACTGGGCAGAGTAACTGTGTGGAGTGTTTGGAGTGAGTAAAGATAGTAAACATTACACTAACCAATTGATTGATCAAATTTAAAAAGTGCACATGGCAACCTTGATAGAGTGAGAAATGCATTTCAAATTTTATTTATTTATATAGCACATTTAATTGCAATGTTGCTGTCCAAAGTGCTTCACAGTTACATTAAAAGATATATTTATAAAAATATTAGCAGGTGTACAAAAGGCTCTGTCTATTACGTCACGTGCTGCTCCAGCCTGGCACAGGTCAGAGTATTTTGGCGGGTGCCATCTTCAAATGGTCATATTTTAGAAACTATAAATCCTACAGCGAAGAGCTTTATATTGTGAGAATCACAAGACCCAGACCTACATTTTGATGCATAGTATGTCTCTGAGATATTAACAATGAAGGCACAGTCGCAGTTTAGAAATTAAGTGTACAAAACCAAAAAAGAAGAATAGATCCAGATGACAGGTACTATAGATCTAATCTATAGTAGAAAATCTGCCACTCTATAGGTACACTCCAAAGACCTATAAAACAAACTGAACAATAAAAAGATGGGAACAAACCCACCTATAAGAGGGTGCTAAACTATACAGGCAAGCAATAAAATGCAATGTGGGCATTAAAAAATATACGGTTTTATTCTGCACATTCTGCAGTAAAAAAATGAATAAAATAACTGAATATTACTTCGGGACTTCCTCAGGAGCTGTAGACGCTATGGTTCTCCCACCGCCGTTCTCTCTTCTTATATTCTCCGTTCTTTCAATCATGTACCAGTAGCTTTCGGGAAATATTCGGCGCGCATGCGCGGCAGGATGAGTCTGCGTAGAACTTTATTGGCATCTGAGTTCGATCACAATGTAGCACTAGATCAGCTACAAGTGACACAGAGCTCATTACATTATGCCTATTGTTGCAAAATAACCTTAGCATTCACCACAAAATAACAATTGTATGAGGGCGGTTGAAAGGAACCTAGGACTGATTAATTTTAAGCTCTATAGAATACAATTAAAAGCGATGTACATTGTGACAAGACCAATCTCGCCACATTGCATTGGAGAAGCCTGGTTGCTCGTCTGCTGCCTCTGGACTATGGCCTCCTTTTAAAAGACTTTATTTTGCCTGCAGAAAAGCTGTATTCGTGCTTTTCTGCCGGTTGTTCGGTAGATTCAATCTACCGAACAACCGCACGAATGAATAGACCACCTTGGAGCTGGAGTGTGCCGGCAATTAACCTCCCTGAAGCTGCGGTTAACCGCAGCTTAATTGACGAATGCTGGGTGGCCGCCATTCGTATCCCGAACACGAGGTCGCGGCCATTTTAAACATACGAATGCACAGCGGTGTTTGCCCCTATTTTCATGGAACTAAAATCGGACACAGTTTTGCGCGAACACCGCTGAAGCCGCCGACCTCCCTTCTTGTTCGGTGGAAGTGCACGAACGGCCCGGTGTTCGGTAGTTTTGTTTGAATGTGTTATACCCCAGATAGGAATCCCATGGAGCCCATTCGTATGAAACTGACTGTAAAGACTTTGGCTCCATGGCGATTAAACTGTATTCGTGTGGTCTGAGCACCATTCGCTTAATAATGTGCGCTCAGACCTGAGCTATCTGGGGATATGTTACATGTCTGTGTTTTATGTAATAAATGTTACTTTATGTATTTTAAAGTATAATACTGGTTTTGTGTCCCCACATGTGTAATGGAGTTTTGCCTTTGTCCTGGGAGATAATTGAATTACTTCTCCAGGGCAGAGGGGAGGAAGCCAGGATGCATTGTGGGGATGTTTTACTTCTGTATGTCTGTAATTGGTACATGTCTGTCTTTTGTTACAGTCTTCCATCTGGTCCCCTAGGGGAGTGTCCACCAGGTGGGAGACCTGCATAAATACTGGGCAGGTAGCCCTCATTAAACAGACCACTGCTTGACCCTCAACACGGAGCCTTGTCTCGTTCTTGGGGGGATTCACTGTATGCTGTTAGAGACTGATTGCCAGGAGTGTAAGCTGATTGTCTGCTTTTCCTGTTCGTCTGCTAGCAGCTATTTGGGAGGTTCCAGTTCGGGAGTTGGAGTGCTATTTTGTATCCAGTTCGGGAGTTTGGTGTTCTGCAGTAGCTGTGCCTGTATCTCTGGAAAGGGGGCCGATCGCCTAAACGGTTTTACCCCTTGTGTGCAAAACGGTCCGTTACAAATGGTGGCAAGCGGCGGGAACGTTCCTACAGCTAGAAGGACAGCTACAGGAGACACCATTTCTTTGGATTTACAAGTTAAGGGCAACGCATGTCCCAGTACAGTGACCCTGACAACACCAGGATGGAACCAGCTGGAAACAGCTACTCTATGAGAGAGTATGACCGGATGGTGTGGTTTCATCTAAGCTTCTTCGGATCCAACCCACTGGAGAGATCGGTGCGGTTTGTAAGGAACCTAGTGTTCGAGAGGCTGCAACAACTGGCAGAAAGAGAAGGTCAGTTGGCACGTTGGGAGAAACTCCAGCGGCAGATGCAGCAGGAAATTGGGAGCCCAGTCTCCACTCCCCAGCGGCAGTGTGAAGTACAGGGAGAGGAGAGCAGTGTCCTCCCTCCCCAGTGACAGGCTGAGTTACAGGGGGCAGAGGTAGTTGTTCCTGCCCCCCAGCAGCCAAGTGATATGCCAGGAAGGCAGTGTGAAGTCCAGGGAGAGGAGAGCAGTGTCCTCTCTCCCCAGCGGCAGCGTGATTTTCTGGGAATTGGGAGCCCAGTCTCCATTCCCCAGCGGCAGTGTGATGTGTCAGGAATTGGGAGCCCAGTTTCCATTCCCCAACGGCAGTGTTATTTGTTGGTAATTGAGAGCCCAGTCTCCAGTCCCCAGCGGCAGAGTATCCAGCAGGGAACAGAGAGCCCAGTCTCCCTTTCCCAGCAGCAGGACACTGTGTTGGGAGCGGAGACAGTCGGTCTCCCTCCTCAGAGCATGAAAGTATGTATGGGAGAGGAGCTTGCTACCACCTCTCCCCAGCAGCGGATCATTAATGGGCAGGGAATAGAGAGCTCAGTCTCCTTTCCCCAGCGGCAGAGTGTTCTATCGGGAGAGGAGCCTGTTACCCCCTCTCCCCAGGGACAGCTTAGAGTATCCAAAGGGGAGACAGTCGGTCTCCCCCTCCAGCAGCAGAGCTGTGTAACCAAAGGGGGTTTTTACCCCTTGTGTGCAAAACGGTCCGTTACATACATCTTCAAAGGGAATATAAAAGGAACCAAAAATGTTGTGTACATAGTTTTTTGTGGTGATCTTTACAATCTTAATACATAGTTCCAAATAAAATACCCCTTATTTAATATTCAAAAACAATTAGGTATGAGTGTGGAAATGACGTTAAGAACACAATACATCTCTATCTTTATCAAAGACAATTAACCATATTCTTTAGTATGATAACAATATTGTTACAATCTAGATACATAGTTCCAAATAAAATACCCCTTATTTTATATCAAAGATCGAAAAAAATATATTAGTATGAAAATTACATTAGGGACACAATATATCTCTATCTTTATCCAAAACAGTCACCATATTCTTAAATATGAAAACAAAGTTATAATATCGTTAATCTCAGATATATTATTAGACAGGTGTAAAGTCGTTTAGATTCTTAGATTTCTCGATTTACAATATACATTTCTCAATTTACAATATACATTTCTTAGTTCGAAAGCTACATCTTGGGCTTCCCATTATAGATAGAATGCAATAAAAATAAAAATAAAAATAAATATAAACATAAACATAAATATAGAAAGAAATATAAAAAAATAAATAAATATAAAACTAAAAATGAATAAAGGTACAAATAGAAATAAAGATAAAAATAAAAATAAATATAAAAATAAAAATATATACAAATAAAGATAAAATTTAAAATAAAAATAAATATAAAAAAATTAAAATAAATAAAAAGAAAAATAATAATAATAATATTAATGAAAATAAAATTAAAATTAAAAAATTATAAAATTAAAAATAAAAAATAAATTAAAAATAAACAAAATAAAATAAAATAAAAATAAATATAAATAATAATAATAATGAAAATAAAAATAAATATAAAAATAAAAAATAAAAATAAATATAAAAATAAAACTATGAAAATAAATCCAAATGTAAAATTGCTTTCCCTTCACATGAAAGCCAAGATATCAAGGTCGGTATTTAGGCCTCGAGGGGTAGAAGTTTTCATTTTATAGATCCAATCTGTTTCCCTTCTTGCTAAGGTCTTAGTGGTGTCGCCACCTCGCCAATGTGGAACAACTAGATCGATACCTAAAATGTATAAGAAAAATCAGAATTACAGGATCCCACCACAGTGTTGCAAGTGATTGCAAGGCTGTGGGGTCTATCCTGATAGCCTACTTCAGAGCTACAAAATAGGGGGTAACCCAAAATGAAATAAATTATAGTAAAGGAGACCCCTGAAACAGGGGGATCCCAAGAGGAGTGGCTCTGGTACAGAAAAAAAGGAAAAATAGTATCTAGAGGTAAATAGAATAATTAAAGAGAGGGGGAGAGGAAAGGAAGGATGCCATATAATAATGGGCAAAAGGGATGAAGGGGGTAGAGAAACAAAATCAGAGACAAAGTCACCCCTACTCCACCCTAAACCACCCACAACTTGCAAAAGCAGGCAATACTTAGGACTAACCAATCCAAAGAGAGAGAAAAATCCCCCCCCTCTCACAAGCAGGCTCAAATCTTGTGGGCAATAGGGTCCTAATGAAAACACCCTTACATATGAAGCCCAAAAAAGGAGCTGAAAAAGGCCTGCCTGAAAAACCAAAATGACTAGAATACTAACTAACTCATAGAATCATACTGACTACCTATGTGCTACCCAAAAAGTGAAAATAAATAAATAAAAAGAAAAGCGCTCGACGCGCGTTTCGGCGTGAATACACGCCGTCGTGTATTCACGCCGAAACGCGCGTCGAGCGCTTTTCTTTTTATTTATTTATTTTCACTTTTTGGGTAGCACATAGGTAGTCAGTATGATTCTATGAGTTAGTTAGTATTCTAGTCATTTTGGTTTTTCAGGCAGGCCTTTTTCAGCTCCTTTTTTGGGCTTCATATGTAAGGGTGTTTTCATTAGGACCCTATTGCCCACAAGATTTGAGCCTGCTTGTGAGAGGGGGGGGATTTTTCTCTCTCTTTGGATTGGTTAGTCCTAAGTATTGCCTGCTTTTGCAAGTTGTGGGTGGTTTAGGGTGGAGTAGGGGTGACTTTGTCTCTGATTTTGTTTCTCTACCCCCTTCATCCCTTTTGCCCATTATTATATGGCATCCTTCCTTTCCTCTCCCCCTCTCTTTAATTATTCTATTTACCTCTAGATACTATTTTTCCTTTTTTTCTGTACCAGAGCCACTCCTCTTGGGATCCCCCTGTTTCAGGGGTCTCCTTTACTATAATTTAGATCGATACCTATACAAACAAAATTGTTAAGAGTAAAGACAGAACAGCTATTACAATGCCGAGGCACACTATGTTTTTCACTTTTCTTTTTTATACCATAGAGATGTTTAATTAATCTCTCATGTAATCTACGAATAGTACGACCTATGTATTGTATTCCGCATGCACATTCTAAAAGATATACCACGTTCTTACTGCTACACATTATGAAATGTTTTATCATGAACTCTTCACCTGTAACTGTACTCTTAAAGGTGGTGGTAGTTCGTTTTTGGAACTTACAGGTGCTACAATTTCCACATTTATAAAAGCCATTAGGTCTCTTCCCCCAAAAAGTTTCCTGTTTTTTATTTGAACTTACTTTCGGAAGAATACAGGGTGCTAAAATTGTTTTCAAGCTGTCAGTTTTCTTATATACAATTTTCGGCTTTTTCGATAATATTTTATACAAATGGATATCCTGTAATAAAATCGGCCAATTTTTTTTAAGGATTTTGTCCATCTTAATCGCTTTGTTGTTATACTTCGTCATAAATGCCATATCAAATGTATTGTTCTCCAATTTAGCAGATCTCCGTTTTACTTGCAAAAATCCTTCCCTTTTTTTACTTATAACTTCTTTTTGGCTTTTTTCGAGTAGGTCTTTTGGATAGTTTCTGTCTAGAAACCTTTTATTAAGAATTTTAATCTGGTTATTAAAATCTATTTGATTTGTGCAGTTTTTGAACAACCTAGTTTGTTGACTCTTAGGGATGTTTTTCAACCATGTCGGGTTATGACAGCTCGAGAATTCTATAAGGCTATTACAATCTGTGGGTTAAAAAAAAGTCTTACTGCAAATTACATTTCTCTCTACAAAGAAAGTTAGGTCACAAAAGTTGATCTTTCTATCTCCCACTTCTTGGGTAAAATTCAAGCCATAGTCGTCGGAGTTGACATAAGACATAAACATAGAAACATAGAATGTGACGGCAGATAAGAACCATTCGGCCCATCTAGTCTGCCCAATTTTCTAAAAACTTTCATTAGTCCCTAGCCTTATCTGATAGTTAGGATAGCCTTATGCCTATCCCATGCATGCTTAAACTCCTTTACTGTGTTAACCTCTACCACTTCAGCTGGAAGGCTATTCCATGCATCCACTACCCTCTCAGTAAAGTAATACTTCCTGATATTATTTTTAAACCTTTGTCCCTCTAATTTAAGACTATGTCCTCTTGTTGTGGTAGTTTTTCTTCTTTTAAATATAGTCTCCTCCTTTACTGTGTTGATTCCCTTTA